CCTAATATTGCTCATGTGACACATCGCGGACATCCTCTCAGTTCTGTGCATATTATTTGTATTGCACTTCGGTTTTTTGCAAACGGGAGCTTTCTGTATAATATTGGTGACGCTGAGCACGTTTCCAAGGCTACCGTCTGTCGGGCAGTCAGGAATGTTACAGTTGCACTGAAACGTCTCCTGTACTCGTTTGTGGTGTTCCCGGTCACAGACCCACAAGATTTATCAAAGAGGGATGCCACAAAATTGCAGGTAGCAGGATGAACAAAACTTAATTCATGATGTGGTGATACTTGAACTACTACTTAAATTTTACATTTATTCCCAGGGTTCCCAGGCGTGATTGGCTGTAGAGATGGTACTCACATTCCAATCATTGCTCCTTCAGTAAATGAAGGAGACTATGTGAACAGGAAGTCTTTCCACAGCATTAATGTACAGGTACATAGTTCCCTGTAGCATTTCAAACTAACAAATCATTTCATTATAGTAATGGATGCTAATTTGTGTTCTCTGCACTGTGAAGATCATGATGCTGCCAACATTATCACAAATGTGGAAGCCAACTGCTCAGCCTCTGTGAGTGGTGGTGGAGGACCCCCACCTGTTTTTCAGGCCTCCGCTTTTTTTCTGTTGGCTATAACGGGCCACATTTGAGCATACAGAGTAAGCAAATATGTACTTGTAATGTGCTCAGATAATTTCAATAAGTGCTTACAGACAGAAAATTAATGTAGCCTCTAACTGCAATTGATTTACAAACAGACCAAGCACTATGGCTCATAATACAATTACACCTTACCTGTTTGGACTATATTTTTATATTTCATCTTTACTTGCTGCCAGGAACGTTTGGGGCCTGTTGGGTTGCACCTGCGCTCACATCACATCACAAAATAAAATGTATGAAATACAAAATAAAATAAAATGAAATATAATAAGATAACGTGTTAAATGGGTGGAAATCCCTAGATCAATGTTTAAATTAACACTCACGCATTGACTCTGTTGGCTATGTTTTGCCATGCATGCTCCCTTTCTTTTGCAGCTGAGGCTGTGTTACTTTTTTTCTGCAAAATTTGCATGTTATCAGCATACACTGCCATCAGAATTTCGGCCTCAAGCGCTGTAAAATACATTGACCGCGCCTTCTTTCCCTCCGTCTCCATGGTGACTCGCTTAATCTGTGCTCCACTAATCAGGGCTTTATGTATCCTCGTGCGCGCGCTTAACTTGGGGTTAAAGCAACTCCGCGTTGATTGAACTAATTGTTATCAGCCTTTCTGAAACCGAATATTCCGAGTTGGACAGTTCGGGGTTACTCAACCCTGAGTATCGTTTTTCACTCTGAGTTTTCTAAACCGGCTTCCTGAAATAGGGCCCTGCTTGTCCAAAGTGAACCGTGATGAAAAGATCAATTCATACAGAAGTGAAGCAGGAGTATCAGTCATGGACGCACGAGTTTGTTTGTTTTGTGGAACCACAAGGGAGCCTGGAGTGACTGGAGCTCCACTGGATCATCACCAGTAGGAAGAAAAAAAAACCCACCACGTGGAACTTTTTTGTAGAATCGTTGCAAATTTTCCAGCACACAGTGGATGTGATCTGGGAATGCAGTTTCTTGCAACGTGTACTCAGATATTTATGCAATACTTATGTAAGAATGCTGTTTGTTGACTTCAGCTCAGCATTCAGTACAGGCATTCCCTCCAAGCTGATCACCAAACTTGTGGATTTTGGACTCAGCAACTCCAGGCGACCATGGTTCAGGGGATTGGGAAGCTCATCTATAACTGGAAGGTTGCCGGTTTGATCCCCCTGGTCGTTGTGTCCTTAGACAAGACGCTATATAAATGTAATCCATTATTATTATTATTATCATTATTATTATTATTATCTGTACCTGGATCATGGACTTTCTGACCAACAGACCCTGGCATGTAAGGTCAGGCTATAACTTCTCTACCACCATCACACTCAACACTGGCACTCCACAGGGCTGTGTGCTGAGCCCGTTCCTCTATGACTGCAGACCTCGGTCCGGATCCAACTCCATCATCCAGTCTGCAGATGACACCGCGGTGACTGTCTCATCAGAGACAATGATGAGTCTGCTACAGGGAAGAGTAAAGCACCTAGCTGTGTGGTGCTGACAATAACCTGCTCCTGAATACCAGCAAAACCAAAGAGCTCATTGTGGACTTCAGGAGGGAGAACAGAGACCCCCATGTCCCCATCTACATAAATGGCACAGCTGTTGAATGGGTCTCCAGCTTCAAGTTCTTGGGGACCCACATCTCTGAGAATCTGTCCTGGTCAACTGACACCTCCAGCCTGGTCAAGAAGGCCCATCAGCGCCTTTTTTTCCTTGAGGACACTGAAGAAGAACCACCTGTCTACTGACATACTGGTTAACTTCTACCACTATGTGATAGAGAGCATCCTGACCAACTGTGTCACACTCTGGTATGGGAACTGTTGCTGGCCACAAGGCACTGCAGCGGGTTGGGCAGTTTTCACCACAGGGCCTCCACTTCCTGCCATTGAGGATGTCCACAAGAAGAGATGTCTATGCCGAGCACGCATCATTCTCAGGGACTCCTCTCATCCTGCCAATAAACTCCTCCAGCTCCTCCCCCCCAGAAGGTGCTACAGGAGCCTTCAGACTAAAACCAGCAGGTTTAGGAACAGCTCCTCCCCACAGCTGTCACCCTACTGAACTCAGCCCCCGCTGAACCTTTCCATCCACACTCACTGAACCCTTCTACACTCCTCCTCCCAGTGACCATGATTTCATTCTCAACATTGTTACGTTCTAAGTCTAGGCGTGTCTTGAACGCAACACAACATTGGCCCACCACACTCCACCCAAAACAAGAACCCAAACAATAGTATCTTTTAAAATGCTAAGCAGCCATTTATTTGCTTCAGCAGTGAGCAGTGCCGAAAATAAACAAAACTCCCTAATGGTCCCTACGCTTTCCTACCCAAAATGAAAAACCAAACAAAAGACAATTCACTTACCTAACTCGCTACATGAAAAACAGGAGAAAACAAAAATGGCTTCTCACGCCTACTAGGCTGCTGCAGTGAACAATATATAAATCAAATTCAAATTCAAATTTTATTTGTCACACACACACAACCATACACAGTATGACATGGGGGTGAAATGCTTGTAGCTGTACAATGCCCGACCATTAGATGACAGAAGAAAAGTTTTACAATATTTACAATTTACTACAAAAATTTACAAATTAACTTAGGAATTTACAGTAAAGAATGTGCAAATAGCAGAAGAGATTATAAAGATAAGGATTATAAATTATAGGAATTATAGAATTATAGGAAATGTGTGGTGGTGCGTGTGGTGACGTGTGTGAGAGTCCAGTCTTATAGTGACGTGTTTGGGAGAGTGGTGGAAAAAAGGTGGAAAAAATACAAGGTGAAAAAAAAACAACTCAATTGCTACTTTACAAATCTATTTACAGCTATATACAAAACTACGATACCAACACCACAATGATCACGACGCATGACAAACTGAAACACAGGGCTTAAATACATAGAGGGAGCAATCAGGAAACGGACAACAGGAGGGAAACACAGCTGGGGCAAATCAGAACTGACGAGACAAGGAAGCGTAACCTGAACACACTGAGATAAGACAGACCTTCAAAGTAAAACAGGAAACACATAACAGTCACGCCTAACACAAAACACTGACAACATTGGATCGTAACAACATTCACCACATGCTCACATTGGTTACTGCTATAGTTTTACGACACTGACAGTCTCTGTTATAGTGCCTACACCAGGGGTGCCCAATCCCGGTCCTCGAGAGCTACCGTCCTGCAGCTTTTAGATGCATCCTTGTTCCCACACACCTGAATCAAATGAATGGCTTGTTATCAGGCCTTTGCCAAACATGATGGCATGCTGAAGAGATCAAACCATTTGATTCAGCTGTGTTGGAGTAGGGATGCATCTAAAAGCTGCAGGATAGTAGCTCTCGAGGACCGGGATTGGGCACACCTGGCCTACACTGTTCACTGTTACAGTCTGTTCAGAGAGCTACGCTTCCACTGCTGTAGATATATTCATAGCACTCTGTAGATCTGTTTACCTCACACCGATACATCTGCATATATGTAGCACATCTGTATATTTGTTCACAGTACACCTGTATATCTGCCCATCTGTACAGCAATACAGAACATCTGTATGCTACACCATCTGTATATCTGTACATATGTATACAACAGTACATCTGTATATCTGCTCTCTACTGAACTTATACATAATCTGCTCTTATTGCACTTACTGATTAGATGCAAACTGTATTTTGTTACCCTGTATTTAGACATGTGTAATGACAAACGTTGAATTCTAAATGCTATCCTAAACATTTAAACAGCTACAGGAGAAGTTTTTAGAAGACCAGTAAAGAGAGCATGGAGGCAGATGGAGGATGCCAAGTCCACTGTATCTACACACTTCCTGTTTCCACCTCATCCTTCCAGTGCTTTACTACTATGGGCTCAAATTGTGGTCATAAATATTTTGTACTTGTAAATCAGTTTTGTACTTGTAAATCAGGATTTGTGTGTGTAAAAAAGATTTGTGTGTGGACTTATCCAAAAAATATGTGTGAAAGTCTGCACTAAACTTTCAAGTTACAAGTACGAATTTTGACCCTATTTTTCTTCCTCTCATCTGATTGGCCAATGTCATGTCAATCACAAATTTAACTATCCAATCAGAGAACACGATTGCGTGTCCCGCGAAAAATTGGCAACACAAAAAAAGAGAAATGAAATGACTATTTAGGGTATATCAATGTGTGTGTCTCCTATATGATATATGCAAGTGACATTTTTTTACTGTAACAGCGATTCATACAGGAAAATAATGACCAATGACCGCAGCCGCGTTGTACATTTATTTCAGTTTCAATATTTTTTTCGGTTTCATTTCAAGGTGGCATTGTTCTGATCCCATACACACACAAATCCTGATTTACAAGTACAAAATATTTATGACCACAATTTGAGCCCATATACTCTCTCTACCACAGCTGCCTTTGAACTTGCCTGGGCCAGGTCTGAGTCCAGCTTTGCTACTCCTGCCAGGTCACATGACACAGGGGTGTGGTCTGATGTCAGCAGGCAGGTCAGTGGAGCCCTCTGGTGATGGATATATGGCAGTGAAGCAGGAGGAGGCCTGAGAACAGACAGCAGGCTTAACTAGCAGGACAAAGTAGCATGTAGTACTTGAAGGAGTCATCACAGCCAATCAGCTCTCAGGAAAATGGAACATCACATAAATATTTCTCTTCTTTGATTTTTATCAATGTATTTCCTTTGATAGATTTTCTGTCAACACTTCTGCTTGATTAGAAGCTCATAGGCAGTTCCTGTCACTCTACAATAAAACAATGTAAAGGCTGCCCTCTCTGCCCTCCCACTAGCTGACACAAGTAAACTGTGCTAAGATGCTCTACATGGACTAAGGTTCTTGGCCACACACATATAGATTTAGTTGGCTGTAGAAATCCATGCCATGAAGCTCCCAGCGCACATTTTTGATGCTTCTGTCTGTGGAAGAGCAGGTTTGGAGCTCTGCAGAGCCTTGGTGACTTTTACTGACTATGCACCCCTACCCATTTATTATGAACTAACAGCACAACGGTTTGTGCTTTTTTCTATAATACACATGTATGATTTAGATTTGTACTTATGTGGCAGCTATTCACTGACCTGACAAAGTTATTTTCCATAAAAACTAAAAGTGTTGAAATTCTCAGAAAATGAATGAGACGTGCATGCAATTTGACATATTTTATTGTTTTCTGTGTGTGTTTGTCTGTGTGAAGTTTTGATGTGTATGTGAAAAACACAATTTTGAAAACACAGGAAAAAGACCTCAAGACATGTTTTCCTTTACTTTCTATGAAACAAAAATTCCCACCAAGGCTTTTCAGTGTGAAATTTAGTGTATAGAAAATACCTGTGCCAGGTTGTCTCCATCTAGTGGTGAACATGGCCTCACCACTACACCACCATCAGGTGAGTTTTTCACTGTGCACAGTGACACAAAAGTCATTTAACAATTTTAAAAAAAGCAATGTTACAGATTCAGTAAGAACTGAAGTTTATCATAATCCTTCAAGTTTCACTCAGTAACAGCAGCTTTTTAATATTATTGGCTATAGTTTAGAGTCACATTTATATGAAATGTCAAACAATCACAGAGTGACACTGAACTAAACAATCAATGCCATGTGAGTTGTTCTTGTTTGTTCTTTATCTCAGATTTATTGTAAGCAGCGGGAGTAGAAGCTAAAGAAAAATAGTAAAGACATGAATGAATCTCTGCTCTTACAGCTTTTATTGTGCCATAATGTCTGCTTTGAAACCGTCCTCTTGCTCGTCTCTTGGATGCTCACCTCTTCTTCATCTTTCCTGTTCCTTTCACCAAACTGCTGCACTCTCGTTCTCTCCTCTCGCCTCCTCTTCTGGTTATAATTAGGATGCAGTCAGCATGTGCCAAACAAACTCCCCCCAAATCGATCATGTTTGATATGATGATGACGTTTTTAACATCTTATTTATGCACTTGTTGGGTGGGAAAGAGTAAACAAAGATGGGGCATAGAAGCAGAACTGATACGTGTGGCGGGACAGTAACTGTGTGTGTATATGTAAGCATTTAAACACTGCAGAGAGTCAAATTAACAGTAACACTATTTTGTCTAAGTCCGCCATTGTAGAAATTCATTTCACCGAAACAATAACATGGCGCACAATGTGACAATAAACGTATAAAACACAAATTCTTACCTAGCAGGAGAATAAATAATCAGTATTTTAAGGCTACTGCATGTATAGATGTCACTGCTTGCTCACATAAGCTAGCTCTGAGACCCGCCAGAGTTTACGCCACAGTTGACTGTCGCGAAAGAGTCGTAAATCACCGGCATTGTAAAACTTAAAATGATTCCAGGGCATGTTATAAACACCCAATAGATGTACTGGATATTAAACGGTATCAAACGACTAAATGAACACAGGGTTACAATTACATGCTCACATCGTCACATCGAGAGTTTATTCATTAATCATCAGAGTTCAACAATGTTACATCCAGTTGAAAACAGCTTCACTAACGCCAGCAAAACAGGCTAACAGTATATAAGAGCACAGAAACAGCCGTGCTTATCGACAGCTCGACATATCCTCAACAACTCACCTCAGTATGTGTAACCCGTTCATGTGTTACGCCTGTTGTTCTTGCGTTGTGTTCTGGTGTGAAAGTAAGAGGCAGGAGACAGTACTGGGTCTTTGGCTCTTTACTGCACATCTGCAACACAGAAACATGTGTCTGATCTGTGTGTGTCACGCGACTGCCAGTACACCTCTCCTCCGGCCATGTTGAAAGGAGCTGTGTCTGCAGCTTCATTAACACTACAATAATATAATGAATCAAATACAACAAATTGTTTTAAAACATTAACTTAAGCTCTCAAAAACAAAAAGCACAAAATAAATAATATGTCACTGAAAAAAACATCAAAAACAACTTATAAGAACAATAAACAAAATAATTCAAAAACAAATAAACAGTCAGATAAATACAATTCAATAACCAGGACCCAATATTCTGGTACTTATAGTTCAAACATTATACTTCAGTACAATTATATTAATAACCGCCATCTAACAGGCAGTACAACACTGTACTTATAAAAACAATGAATGAAAGACAGCATCTCCAAAACATAAGAACATCTCCATACCTGCAACACAGAAATATGTGTCTGATCTGTGTGTGTCACGCGACTGCCAGTACACCTCTCCTGACGAAGGAAAAAAAGAGTGCATGCTGTTAAAAAAAGACTGCCGCGAGTAGCCGCTAGCAATCAGGCTAACTTAGCATGCTAGCATTTTAGCTGCGTTCTCGGCTAAAACTCATAAGCGTATATTAGTGAACTCCGCCCTCCACAAAACTTATCCCGAATGAGTCTCTTAATGACAAATAAAAACGCGGCGGTTTGGCTGTATTCACATTGCAGCTTGGGATCTGAACAAACTTTAATTAGCTGAGAGCAACGTGGCAGTGACTTACCTCCGGCCATGCTGAAAGGAGCTGTGACCGGGGCACACATGCACGCGCCTACGTCACCACGCAGCGCACACACACATGAACGCACTATACACATATGCAGCATATTTATATTACTTGGTTTTAGAGTTGGAGTATTTACATAGTGATCTGAAATATTTTGCTGCTGAACAGCAGAGCTCCAAAGCGTCCCCCTGTAACCATGGTTACGCAGATGCGTTCCGACTGTCACGTCACCGAGGAGAACCTGTTTCAAATGTATACCTGGATCAACCTGCAATCAGTTTGAAAAGTTTTCTGCTGAGATCCGCAGCTCGACTTCCTGGCACCCCGGGATAAGATGAGTTGCTGTGTTTTTCACGGAGAAAAAATAACGTCAGTGTTAGATGAAAAAAAAAGATGCAAGCAGAAGAGGACAGCAGATTGAGAAGAGATTTCTTCAAACGGTAAGGAGCTTCTAACAAGTGATATCTGATAAGCTTAAATCTTAAATCTAATGTCCAGATTCATGCTAAACTTTTCTGATTACTCCGTGAATCTGCACTGTTAGACTTTTCATCGCCACTTTACGGTAACATACTGGCGTCACTGCTGCCAGCGTCATACCGTGACGCCGTGTTACGGTAGCTTACCTTTCTGCAGGATGATACCGTTTTTTGCTGGTGTGGTATAATACTCTTGGACAAATTATGGTAACGCACCGTAGCCTTTTTTACGGTATCTCACTGGCGACAGTTATGTCAGTGAGATACCGTTATGTCGTTATGTCGTAAATTACGTCAACAAAGTAACATCATACTGTGATTAATAAATTGGTATACTACCGTTTATTCACGGTATGTCACTGTAAGCCCGCTGCAAGGTAATAAACTGCAATATATTAACCAGTAACTTACCGTTGGTACGCATCATCAGTACCAAAAATATTCATCTCTGCTAGAGGACACCGTGTCCTAACAGGCGGTCATTTACTCTTTTAAAAGGTCGTAATTTACCGTAATTTCAGTTAACAGTAACATACTGTAAGAGACTGGAGGGTTCCAAAAAAGTTGGATGGATGGACACACACACACACACACACACACACACACACACACACACACAAAATATAATTCATGTGCTTTACACCACTTTATTTCAATTCTGATTCTTCCCTGCTGAAATACACATTTCCAAAATCAAAAACTGAAAAGAACTGAAAACATATTTTCATTGAGGAAGCACTTGTTTTTACTAAACCATGTAATCCATTATTTTCTCAGATGGTTGTACAAACAATAACAATATTATGTCATATCCATATCATGGCAGACAACACATGCTCAAGTGTTGGGTTTCCTTACTTATATTTTGTAGGGTCTCAAACCTACAATGTGAAGTGCCTTGGCATTCATTTTGTTGGCACCATACAAATAAACTGAATTGTAATGGATATAATATCAAGCCCCACACGTCTGCCTTTATATACACTTTGTCCAAAATACTGGCTCACACGACCAAATCATTGCACAAAGCAGGGTCCACAAGGACATGGATGAGCGTGTGTGGTGTGAAGGAACTTGACTGACCTGCACTGAACCCTGATCTTGCTTTGTGGACTGAGTTCATTGATTTGTAGGGTGAGCCAATACATGTGACAATTAAAGTGTAAGTAGCTGAAATAATTTTTAACAAACGGGTAAAAGAAGGTTAGCACTGTTGCCACACAGCAAGAAGGTCCTGAGTTCAATTCCACCATCAGGTCTTTCTGTGTGGAGTTTGCATGTTCTCCCCGTGTTTGCGTGGGTTCTCTCCGGGTACTCCGGCTTCCTCCCACCGTCCAAAGACATGCAGCTTGTGGGGATAGGTTAATTGGATAATCCAAATTGCCACTAGGTGTGAATGTGCGAGTGAATGTGAGTGTGAATGGTTGTCTGTCCCTGTGTGTTGGCCCTGCGACAGACTGGCGACCTGTCCAGGGTGTACCCCGCCTTTCGCCCTATGACAGCTGGGATAGGCTCCAGCGCCCCCCGCGACCCTGAAAAAGGATAAGCAGAAGTGAATGGATGGATGGATGGGTAAAAGAAGGGAAAAAAATCAAAACTGTTGCACTCAAAAAAACCTATTGGACAGAGACAGCGTCTTGCAAGATGGCGAGAGAGCTTGTCTTCATTGTTGCTCGTCTTGTGTAAATGTCCAGAAAGCATGGGCCATGGATCATCTGTGGAGACATGGGTAACAACACATTGGTCACTTAAATTATACAAGAAATTTACTAATTTCCCTAATTTGAAGTTCTCCACTCAAATTCAGTAAGCCACTGGAGGAAAGTTGTGACATGAGGGTTAATGTGAACAACCTTTCTGTCATGGTCCTGGGTCGGTGACCCAGCGCTTTTAGTTTGTTATCATTTTCATGATGATGATTGTTTTAGTTCTGTGTTATATTCGGTCTGCCTCTGAGTCTGCGTCTGGATCTGTCTGTCTATGGTGTCACCCCATCTGTTTGTGAAGCTGTCTGTTTAGATCTGTGTCTTGTTTGGTTCCCCGTGTCTGAGTTTCCTGTTTTATTGTGAAGGTCTGTCTGATGTGAGTGTGTTCAGTTTACATTTCCCCTGTCCCGTCAGTTCTGATTTCTCCCAGCTGTGTTGCCCTCCTGTCCCTCATCCCCTGATTACTGGTGTGTATTTAAGCCCTGTGTGTTCTCCTGCCTGTTGTCGGCTCGTCTGCACTCATCCGTGTATTTCTGCGTATCGCTGCGTCCCTCTGCCCCGCTCTGCCCCGCACCCCCTTTGTACGGTCTCAGGTTTGCTATTTAGTTTCTCCCAGTTTAGGTTTCCGTTTGTAAAGTACTCATACCTCGTTGCCTGTTTTTGTCACCACCACCTTTGTAAATAAAACATCACTCGTATCATCAGTTTGCTGCATCTTGGGTCCTCCTTTTCCTCCACACCACACGGCTCCCTCCGCCAGCCGTGACACTTTCGCTTCACAGTGGTCCCAGTCTTCCTGCTTGTCCCAACCTTGGAGGTACATTTTGTTCCCTCTTCAGGGTTTATCCTTACAAAAAACCTTGCACCCGCTGACTCCTGGTATTCCAGGTTCAATACATAGAATGAACCAAAGAAGACTGACATTGCATCAGCACAGGTGTTCTCTTTGTCCAGCTCAACAATTACACGCCCCTCTGCACTCACCATCCAGCAGGTGGCGGTCATTGAACTTTGTCCTTAAATGTATAGGGGCAACATGTTGTCATTATGCAACATAAAATAATTTCAATACTTCACTTCTTCACACTGTCTAGATAGTCATAAAGCAAATACCTACGTACAGTTAATTATTAATGGCCTTGTGTACATAGGTCCATTTTAACATATTATAATTGTATATAATTGGGAATTATTCTGCACATTAAACACACCTAACAAAGAGTCAGCCCAGTTAAAGTACCGGAGGTGAATCAACTGTATGGTTATTTTGGAGTTTATAGTTTGTGCTGCTGTTAAACTTTACAGTATTGACTTCAGTATTTCTGCTGTTGGTGTAGCTAGACTACTGTTGATCAGTAATATGTAATGTGAAATTTGATATTGTTACTTTGCTGGATTCACTGAGACACATGTCCAACAACCTTGGTTTATAAAGGAAATTACAGAAATTTGAGCTAACAAAACAGAGACTGGATACCTGTGTCCACGAAAAGCTCCTGTGCCAAACAGAAATTTTAATATGGTCTAATCAGCTCTATGTCATAAATGACTTCTTACCAAGCATAATCAGCCTTGGGGTGCTTGGCAGGCTTTTAACATGCAAACTGAACAATATAAATTTGCGTGCACTGAAGCCACAAAATTTAGAAATACACAGTTGCAAAAACTTCAGTGACCAATTACCTTTCCTGAATGACATATTCAATGCAAAAAATAAGAGTATTGTCAATAGGGACCAATTCCCAGTTTTTACATGATCAAAATTATTCACAAAAGGCTTCAATAAACAGAAAATGTGTGCCAACAAGAGAACAGTGCACAAAAATGAAAAGATATTTGAGCTCGACGCTTTAATGGGTTTAACATGACCGTACAGGTAGTACAAGCACACCTGAAAACACTGACCAGCTAACAGCTTTAAGCATTTGGGCGCAACCTCGGTAGTTCACCGATTCACCTGTTGCAAACGTCCAAGTTTCTATCAAGTCTCATAAATCCATCGGCAAATTACCTAACTAGTCTTTTGAGTCTCCACATTCAGAGATATTGACATTTTGTCTTTAAATGAAAATATCCTGGTAGGGTAGCTTAAAAGTCAAAACAAACAGTACTAAGAACGCATTTCGGACTTCTCTCGAATAAGTGAAAAAAACACTTACCTTCAGACTGATTAGCTGGTTCCGATCCAACTTTAATGTGTCCCATGTCAGTCCGTTT